CTTTTCTGCAGTGCTTGAAACCATCCCACTTCCTTTTTCTTTTTCCTTAAGAACTGATTACTGACACTTGGGAATTATAATCAGATTTCATCAATCTTTATGGAAAGGTTACCAATTATTGCACTGAAAAATAGGCATTTGTCTCTAATAGTAAGTGTTTCTCTTGGTATGTCTCTCTCAGTTCATTGCATTTAAATACCTCTTAGGTGAATGAATGCTTTGTGTCATGCCCTGATTTAATACATTTAAAGCAGACTTTATTGATGGCTTTCTTACTTTCAGTTATATGGGAGGGGGAATAATTTAATAGAGAATTTTCATAGGATCTTTTGGTTGCTTAGATGTCCTTGGGGTAGAAAAGAATGACTGGTATCAGTTATTTCTGTTGTGATACAAGCTGCAGAATCAATATTTGCATTGAACAGTTGAGAGCAGGGAGGATTTTTATGGTGGGGATGTACATATTGAGCATTGGGCTGTACCTTCGGTGTGTATTCTTTCATTTTGTTCTCTAATGACTCTCAGAGGCTAGATTCAGTCACTCCAGTTTTAGAGAATAGAAGGCTTGGTTATGAGATTTGTACTTGGCACTCAGCTAGTACATTAAAAACAAAACAGTGACTTGAATCCAGATCTCTCTGGCTTTTCTTGTCACAGTTCTTAGAGTGGTTCCATTATCGTCGATTAGTGAAACATTGGGCGGAACGAAGAAACAGCCACTTTATCAGCACCATCACCCTCGTTCTTACCCTCCTCTCTGGTTCTAATGTTCTTCAGCATTAACTGGTGGAGTTTAGGAGCCTGCCAAGGTGTCTGGCTCATTGTGTTCAATACAACATAGGCTTGTTTAATTTAGCAGTGCTCTGAGATGAAAGGTTCATGACGGCCAAGTACAAACAGACCTTCTGTGGGATGTTAATTTTGTTATAGGAGAGAATGCTTGTTTTTCCTTGCTCTGTGTTAATAAAGAAGCTGGCACATTTTCTCATCAGTTAAAAAGGACTTTGACATGTTTAATTCTGTGTAATGAAAGGGAAGTGAGTGGTTCTGATAAACATTTTTCTTTGTGCAGTTTTTGGTTAATTCCATTTTATACCTGCCAGCAAATTACAGTTTGTGTGCTCTTTTGTTCTTTTCTTCTTTTTACTTTGAATTTGATTTTATGATTGGTCGCTGTGGGGATTTGGTGGTAGGAAAGTAAATTATTTCCTCATTTGAACAGATTGTGTGTTTGTGTGTGTATGTGTGTTTACGACAGGTTATCCTGTAGTAGGCAAAGTGATTCAGTCAGGCCCCTGCACAGAGGTGTCACTATATGATTTTGTGTAGTAATTTTTTTTCATAATAGCTCTATTGACATGTAATTCACATACCATAAAGTCCACCCATTTAAAACATAAAATTCAGTAGATCTTACTGTATTCACAGAGTTATGCACAGATCCCCAGTCTTATTCCAGAACACTTTCATCACCCTAAAAAGATCCCTCAGACCGAGTAGCAGTCACTTCCCATTCTTCCCTCTCTTTAGTCTCTGGCAACCACCGTTCTACTTTCTGTGTCTCTGAACTCAGAGTATGTCATGTAAATGGAGTTATACAATACGTGTGACCTTTTGTGTCTGACTTCTTTCACTTAGCATGCTTTTGAGGTTTGTCTGTGTCATAGCATATGTAAGAATTCATTCTTTTTGTTGCTAAATAATATTCTACTGCATAGATAGATAACATTTTGTTTATTCATCCATTGATGGCCACTTAGGTGGTTTCCAGGTTTTGACTATTGCGAATGCTGCTGAGAATATTCATGTCTATGTTTTTTGGGTGGACATCTGCTATCATTTCTCATGGATGTGTACCTAAGAGTAGAATTGCTGCCTCTCATGGTAACTCTATATTTAACTTTTTGAGGGACTGCCAAACTGTTTTCCAAAGTGGCTGTACTATTTTACGTTCCCATCAACAGTGTTAGAGGATTCCATCCTAGCCAACACTTATTATTTTTTGTTTTGTTTTTCATAGTAACCATCCCAGTGGGTGTGAAGTGGTCTCTAGTGGTAATTTTGATTTGCATTTTCCCTAATGGCTAATGATGTTCAAAATCTTTTCATGAGCTTCTTGGTCACTTGTATATTTTTTAGAGAAATGCCTATTCATGTTCTTTTCCTATTTTAAAAATGGGATTGTCTTTTTATTGTTGAGTTATAATATTTTTGTGTATTCTAGATTTCTTTGTATATTTTAGATGCACCCCTCTGCCCTCCACATAGGTCTTTATCAGAGGTATGAATTGTAAAATTTTCCTCCCTTTCTGTGGATTGTCTTTTCCCTATTTAAAAAAATCTTCTTTGAAGAAGTTTTTTAATTTTTGAGAAGACCAACTTCTGTTGTCTTTGGTTGCTTATGTAGTCTTGCCTCTGTTTGAAATTTTCTGCAAGTTAAAAAATGCACCTTATTTCTATACATCTGATTTTAAAAGTTGCTGCAAAATTAAATGATCAGCTGTTAACTATACAATGGGTAGAGGTATTTAAACATCTTTCATATTTTCAAATATTCTCATCTAATACAAGGTGAGAGGACCAAGTTTCCTAACCTAAAACCCAATGTGCATTTTTTAAGTTAGAAAAAATGTCTTTCAGTGTTCTGCCTAGCTCAGAATGCATGGGACAGTCTGTGAACGTTTTAAGTATTTTGTATGTACTAAGCCCTTGACTAGGCTTGGGGATCCGGAGGTGAGTAGGCCATGGCTCTATCCTCAAAGAACTAGAGCTCACATGCCAAGCTAGAAGCATCCACAGACAGTGGAGACCCATGGAAAGGAGGAAGGAGTACTCTCCTGTATCTGGGTGAGAATGCCTCACTGAAGAGTGGACATTTGAAGCAGCTCTATTGGGATATAATTCATGTACCATGAAGTTCACCCATTTGAAGCATGCAACTCAGTAATTTCAGTATATTCACAGAGTTGTGCTCAATCCGAAAAGATGGGTGGCAATCAGAACTTTTTGTTGGGGTCTTTGATTCTCTCCTCCAGTTTCTTGCTGCTGTGTACACCGTGTGTTTAGACCAGGTGTTTTGTAGCCATGGTACTTAGGATTCTTAGTGTAATAAAATGTAAAAATGGGTGTGATGACTTTGATGCCTAGAAGTGAACCTAAAGAAAACCACTTTACTTTCTTCAGGTTTTCAGAAAGGAAAATATCCTGCTTACCAGTTAGTTCAGCTTTGGGCGGAGAGGGGGTGTGTGTCTCTCTCTAAGCTAAAGCCCAGGTAATTCCACTCAGTCAAAGCATAAAATGTGAGGCACGGAGTAACAGGTGCGTGGCTGCAGAGCGAGATGGATTGTAGAGAGCTGGGGGTGTCCTGCTAAGGAGTTCAGATTTTGTCCCTGTTGATTCTGGAGCCTCTCCAGCAGGGGGGGAGTGTGATGTAGTCACTCTGGCTCCGGTGTTATGGATGCTGCCTGTGGGGGCAGGACTGGAGACCAGAGACCCATTAGGCTGTTGCGTTAGTCCAGTAAGAGTCAGTGAGGACCTGAACTAGGGTATTTGTGGCAGAGTTGGATAAGACTCAGTCTGGAAATGTTTAGGAGCTATCAGTCAGGAATCCTGGCTACAAGTAACAGAAATCCTCCTAAGTTTAAACTATCTTAAGTGAGTGAAGTCGCTCAGTCGTGTCTGACTCTTTGCGACCCCATGAACTGTAGCTCACCAGGCTCCTCCGTCCATGGGATTCTCCAGGCAAGAATACTGGAGTGGGTTGCCATTTCCTTCTCCAGGGGATCTTCCTGATGCAGGGATCGAACCCAGGTCTCCCACATTGCAGGCAGACGCTTTAACCTCTGAGCCACCAGTTAAAAGAGGAATTAATTGGAAGGTTCTTGGAGATGGTTGTAAAAGATATGAAATGCTGCAGATGCCAGAACAACCTAGGGACCTCGGGGATTGGAAGAGGTCTCATCATCACAGGTACTCTTTCTCCCAACTCTGGGCCCTTGGGCTTCTGCATAGGGCAGGGGCTGTCTTCATACTCTCCTGCCAAGAGGAAGAAAAAGCTCCTCTTGCCCAGCTCATTTTTAAAATCCTAGGAGCTCTCTTGGCTTTGAATTTTGTGCCTTCACCAGGCACTGGGAGGGGGTCTTTGAAAGCTGTCTACCACCATCATGTTAGGAGTTCCCAAAAAGAGGAAGGTTGTTGTGGGCAGAGGCAGCCGTGCACACCTGCTCGAGGAGTACTGAGATGGGGGAGATCTGAGGAGGAAGAGTGCCTCCCACGTGTGTGCCTCTGATAGCCTGTGATGGCACCGCTGCCATCTGAGAATGCGAGTTCAGGGAGCAGGCACACCGGAGTGCCGAGTTCAGTTTTAGACCAGCTTAGACTGGGACCTGGACCTAATCACAGTTTGCAGGTTACATATTTTTATGATTATTTGACTGGTTTGGCTTTCTTCATAATTAAAAGTCTTGTGAGGACAGGAACTGTCTTGTTTTCTTCATTCTGAACTTCCAGAGCCCAGCATAGTATACTTGACACATAACAGGTATTCAGTGAATATCTATGTGAATGATCCAGGTGAACACGTTCAGCAGGCAGCTGAGTGTACAGTTTGGATCTCAGTCGAGGACAGGAAATATGGATTTGGGAGTTATCGATGTAGGGCTATGTAGTGGACACAGTGGCTAAGGGACTGTTATAAAATTTCAGATACTGTGTAGACCTGAAATTTTCATGTCCAGGTAATTATGCCTTTTTTCTTTGCCATGCCAAGTATTATCAGTAATTATCCACTGACAGTCCTGCTAATTAGTTTTTTAAATTTCATGACTAAAATTAGATTTGTGATAGGTAGAGAAATAAAGGTGATAAAGACAGATTCTGTTTCCTTTTAAAAATAACTGACTCATAGGATGAAACCTTGGATATGATTTCAGATCACTCCTGTAAGCTCTCACAAAAGATGTTTATAAAACACTTGGAACAATACAGATTGTACTAAGAAAATGTGCTTTGATCAACTCTGGAGATACAAAGCAGGGAACTTAATAAATCAAGTCCTATTTGTGAATGGAAAGGACTGGAAGTTCACCTTAAAAGTAAGAATTGAGTTCATAGCAAGACCTAAGTTTTGTTTCTGAATAGCAGATGTTAACTTATTTTCATCTTTTATGTGAAAAAAAAAAAATGAATTGCAGGTTTCAGATCTTGGCATCTTGAAATCTGACTCCTGATTCCTATCTCTTAATCGCTTTTGGAACACTAGTCTAGAAATGGAATTTGACTTTGGTTTTTTACCCTTTAATTTTGAGGTGAATGTTCTGCCAACTCTTGTCCTTCCTCTATATTCAAGAAAACCAAATCACAGGTAGCTTGCATATGGTATAATTTTTATTATTTAAATATTAGAAAAAATAGGGTCTTGTTTATCTAGAGTAGTAATATTACATTGACACTTGGGAAAGATGGTTTTTTGGGTTTTGTGCTTTTTTTTTTTCATTTTAATGCATAAATAGAATTATATTACTTTTATGAGCTCAACGCTCTCAGCCTACCACTTTGCCATATGACAAGATATTATAGTAAATTGCATGTATTTTAAATGTCTTTGTTTATTGCCTAGATTCCTTTCTTACCCTCCTAGTAGAGATGTGAGCCATATTCGTTTATTTAATTTTTCGCCAAAGAACTTTAACTAAATTTGCCTGACTCCCAATGCAGGCAAATGTCTTTTAGCAAGTTAATTTCAAGGAGCATTTCTAAAAACTCAGCTTGCATAGATTATAGCATCCCAGCTTTTAAAATTACTGTTAAGATATATGTTTAAAATAGGACACAGATGATTTTCTTTTGGTTTATAGATTAATGCTTATTCTTTCAAATAGTTTCAACACATATCTGATAGACTGAGACTCTGTGCCTTCTGAATTTTACCAAGGCTCCTTCAAGACTAGGAAAGAGAATACATTTCAGATCTTAATGATGAAGTCAAAATTATGAGTTTGACTCCTGCATAAACTAGTTAAGTTATAAATGGGAAGATCTCCATGCTGAGACCCCAGACCTCAGCACACTGTATCCTTTTTGAAATCAGTTACAGAGCTGAAATGAAAGAAGGTTGATTTCTGGAGTTACCCCTTATCAGCTCCTGGAGAATAAAAACTTTAAATCCCTCTAATATAGTTTAGCTTATTCTGTATTCTGAAATGATTTTTATCAAGAGGTTCTTACCTTCATTCTTTGCTAGTTAATTTTTCAGAGGTAGCATCATTCAAAATAGAAAAGTTCATAGCCTAGATGTCAGAGAAGGGTTCGTCAGCAGCCCTTATGGATGGGGGCGAACAGCAGCCCTGGAAGAGGCCTGAGTCTCTCACACAGCTGGGCCTGGGCTTGTCAGGGCTACTTCCGTGCTGCATCGCTTTCACAGATGCCGTGTCTCCGCTCCTTAGTTCTTGGGTTTTTTTTTTATGACTAATATAATTTTATCATATATGTTAATATAACTTTGTCATATAATTTTATTACCATATCATTCATGATGAAAGTGAAAGAGGAGAGTGAAAAAGTTGGCTTAAAACCCAACATTCAAAAAACTAAGATCATGGCATCTGGTCCCATCACTTCATGGCAAAGAAATGGGAAAACAATGGAAACAGTGAGAGACTTTATTTTGGGGGGCTCCAAAATCACTGCATATGGTGACTGCAACCATGAAATTAAAAGATGCTTGCTCCTCGGAAGAAAAAGTATGACCAACCTAGACAGCATATTAAAAAGCAGAGACATTACCTTGCCAACAATGAAAGCTATGGTTTTTCCAGCAGTCATGTATGGATGTGAGAGTTGGATTATAAAGAAAGCTGAGTGCCAAAGAATTGATGCTTTTGAACTGTGGTGTTGGAGAAGACTCTTGAGAGTCCCTTGGACTGCAAGGAGATCCAACCAGTCCATCCTAAAGGAAATCAGCCCTGAATATTCATTGGAAGGACTGATGCTAAAGCTGAAACTCCAATACTTTGGCTACCTAATGCAAAGAACTGACTCATTGGAAAAGACCCTGATGCTGGGAAAGATTGAAGGCAAGAGGAGAAGGGGACGACAGAGGATGAGATGGTTGGATGGCATCACTGACTGGATGGGCCTGAATTTGAGCCAGCTCTGGGAATTGGTGATGGACAGGGACGCCTGGCATGCTGCAGTCTATGGGGTCGCAGAGAGTTGGACACAACTGAGCGACTGAGCTGAAAAGTAATTTTAAAAGCATTAAATAATGTGGAAGGAGGAACATCCAAATAGTTTATCTCTACCCAGATTTAGTCTAATTAAGGAAGGATTTGTCTGAATTATGGAAAGTTTAAAACAATTGAAATGCACCTCTGAAGTGTGTGTAGAATTCAGGCAAATGTGTTGCCTAGAAGTTATAAAGACTGGTGATTCTAAATAATATATGCATACTCTGTATGTAAACTGACATTTCTAATGGACTTTAGCTGTGGTTTCTGTAGTTTAAGTAGCTGATGAATCTTGATTATGCTCTCAGTAAACAGTCTTTTTCACTAGACAGAGAATGCAGACACTTTTCAACCAGCGCTTGCTCCTGTGTTAGTCATACCTCAATTTAATAAGTTTTATTCTGCATCTCAGAAGTAGTGAAAGAGTGTGCAGAAATGCTCTTAAGGGTGGAAGTGTGCAGTTTGTAGGCTTCTTTTACAGATGTGTCGTCCATGAAACCTCGTTTCTAGAGCAGCTCATCCTCCGACGGCGGTCGAGGCCGGCTGGCCCTCACTCGGGTTTGGGGCGCTCCATTTGAACTGTTGTTCGGGCTGTCGTGGATGAAAGGTCGAGTCCGGGAGGAATGACGGATCAATTACTCGTCCGGATGTCCTCTCTGTTAATACTTTACACTGTAGTATTTACTTATGTGAAAAACACAGGTGCAGTTTTAAATGTTTGACACCACTATACACATGGTCAGAAGTAATAGTCACACTGGCAGCTGCTCTACCCTGTAGCTCTAAGGCAGTCTTTTCATCTCAGAGGAAAGACTTTGCTTCACTTGCCAAGATGATGATAATGAAGAGTACCCAAAAGGCAAAGTGAGGGAGAGAAATTATCGTATATGTCTAGTCCTGTCAACAGGGTTGTTCTCTCTTCCATGTTAAGACTTACCGTCCGATTAAAGTGAATTAGAGAACAATAACTACTCTGAGAATAAACACCAAGTACTCATGGTTACAACAGTCCACGTTCTCGGACAGGTGTGTTCCCTGTGGGGGCCTGGCCTAGGAGACTCACTGCTAAGGAGTTTAAGATTTCTTCTGTTCATCATGGGGAATAGCTCTGTCATCTTGTTCAGGTTCTTAAGGTCATTGATGCTCTACCAGTCTGTGAAATGCTTCATCACACAATTGCCGTGAGGGCAAGTGGAAGTGCTGCATCTGAAGTGGTTAGCACAGCACCTGGCATGTTATAAATCGTCAGTAGATGTTAGGTGACGGACATTAACAAGAGGGCAGTAGTGGACGGAAGAGGTGTTGTGAAGAAGCACAGATTTCGGCTCTTAGCTTTAGTGGAACTCCACTGCGACAGGTGTCATTCTACCTTTTTAATTAAAGTAAATATTGGAGGTGAGTTGGAAAAGCTTCATAACGAAAACTTCATGTTTACTCTCAGCTGTTGAATGTCTCTCCTTTTTGGACATGTTTCCTACCCTTTTACCTTAAAAAAATTTTATTTTCATTTTTACAAATCTGAAAAACAAAAATGAGAAGTTAAAATTACAGAATATGCTGGTTGGTTTTTCGTCTTTCATTTTAATGGTTATTGCTTCTCTACAGGAATGAAAATATTCACAAACTATGCTCACAGAACTTGTGGTCTGGAATGCTTTGGTGACTGAATATTTAGGAGATTAGCGGTGTTTAATGTGGATGTGAGTTTGGATATGATGTATTTAGAACATGTGACAGAATCATTTTGTCAGTCAAAATTTACTAAAAGCTTATCATCTGATAAAATTGTTCCTTTGAGAACAGAAAACATGATAGTTAAAGGCAGCTTAAAATTTTTAGAAAAGGAATAACAGTTTCTAAGGGAATCTGAAGCACAGTACATCAACAGTTTTCTCTAACAAGGGATATTTATTGATTTTTTTTTTTTGTCCATTGCAGGAGTTCATTGGATTCTTTTATTAAAAAATTCTAAAAGAGGAGTACCACTGCACAAGAGAAAATGTATAGATTTTCAAATGGATACCCTTGATAAGCTGTGACCTGTCATATATATTAATGGCAAGAGATGTGGACCTATTGAGTTTTGTTTGTGGTGAATAAATAAGCTTATATCTTCTATCAGATGTAATTACCATCTTTGGTCCAATTGACACGGAATTCTCTAAAATCAGCAGAAGATAATGTGCTGTGGCATAGTATCTCGTCTGATACTAACCAGGACTTTACTTAAAGTTGCCTAGTTGTTATAGATAATTAATTAATTATGGGTCTTGCTACCTTTTCTTCACATGTTTTTTATACTTTTTACCTGTTTTTTATACTTCTAAACTGGCAGAATCTCTTAGAGATGACAAGCTCCACTCTGTGTATGGAAGTACTTTTTTTTTTTTTTTTTAACATTTGTCCTGAATTCACTTAGGTTTCAAGAGATACCTTTGTTGTGGAATTTTAAGCTGTCAGTGCATAATTCTTTATTCATCGTATCACTGGCATTTATTATTTTAACTTTATATTAGAAGAATCATCCTATTTCCATTGATATTCTTTAGTTGTATTATTTAAATGCAGTGACTAAAACCTTACAGACTAGATGCAGAATGGCTTTGTAATTTGCTGCTGACCATGCTGCCTGAATGAAACCCAGAATGTACAACAATGACAGACAGAGTACATGTGCAGTAAATGTTTATTTGAATTAATGAATTGCTCTAGGCTAGCTTGTGGTTATAATATTTTCAAAATTAAGTGACCAAGCATTCAGTACTGGTAGTTGAGCTAAACATTTGGGCTTTGTTTGAAGCCAATAAACAGACCGCTGTGTAATCCAGGGAGACCAGTCTGTTCACTTTTCCGTCCAGTAGTAATTT